GGCAGGAGTGTCTCATGGAGCGGCGTGGAATGTTGTGACAACCCCCGAATCTCTCGCAAAGGGGCTGTCTCATCCCACTTCCAGTTCTTAGTATTTAGGACAGAGTATTCTCCCAAACCTAGAAGTGCAGGAGAGCTCAGGGATGTCAGGAGCCTTCAGGCCAGGGGCACAGTTGTTTTAAACTGCTGCTTCCCCCACTGCTGCCATCGGCGGGGCCACACCACAGCACCGCTTTTCCTAATCTCCGTTAATCTGCAGAGACAGGAGCCTGCTGTCTGCCAGATCTTTCTACCTGCAATTCTTTTTCTCTCTCTGTTTGTGGGTTTGTTTGGTTGGTTTTTTTCCTTCCCCTTTTTACATTTCTGCCTGGATAGTGCCGATATAAATTGAGACCACACAGTCCTTAGGAGCTAACAACATCATGAGCGTATAATTGCTGTTGACGTACGGAAATAGACTCTATAACTGCGGAGTTATAAAGTAGGTATGTTTATTGCGCGCAGGTGCACATGGGATATTTCCACCAAAAGCGTGCACACCAACGTAGCAAGTCGTTCCATATTTATACAATGAAACACTGAATATTCAATTAACGCCTATACATATTCATCACCTCGGCCCGCCTACTCTCGCTTTGTATGCTAATTAAGATTATCAGTTCTTTTGCTGACGTATATCCTTTGGGCAGGGGTCCTTGGAGTGTGGGCAGTGGTCCTTTGGAGGGAGGCCGTAGGTCTTCCTCATGGTGTACTTTTCACCCTTCGCCTGGAATGTGATGATCCTGCAGGCTTGCAGTGTTCTTATCAGTTTGAGTTGGCCCCCTTCCTTGCTGATGGTTTCCGTCATCGAAGGGATATATGGATGTCCCCGTGATGAATGTTATCCTGTTGGGACCCAGGACAGGCCTTCCTTCATGATGAATGTTATCCTGTTGGGACCCAGGACAGGCCTCCCTTTGTGATGAATGTTATCCGGTTTTCTTTAGGTTATCATGGCTCATTTCCTGGATACACGTATAATTGGTTTCTACTTATTGTCCCTATATACTTCCTATTGTCCCTATATACTTCCTATATTATTAATATCTAACCTTACCTAGCCTATTTCTATATAGACTCTTGTCCTGGGTCCAGCTGGGATAGG